GTCTCTCTTCTTGTTTCTTTTGCTGTTCTTGTATTGCTGCCATCAAATCTGCTAAGCTGTAGTTTGATTTGCTGCTTCTCATTTCCATCTTCTCTTTTTCTTCTTCTTTTTTTTTATCCCACTTTCTGACACCAATTTGTTACGCCTCCAGTTGTTAGTTAATTTTCCATAAATTCGTTCCGACGAAATTTTAGCGACACAAGTCCTTTCTTAAATAAAACTGGTTTATTCTTTCTGAATATAACTTTGCAATACACTTAATTTCAACAGTCAAGCTATAATTCTCAATGAACGTCTCAAGTGCTCGACTTCAACAATATTCTGTCCACATACATTCAATTACTCATTACCTCTCCGTCGCTTCGTGTCCTGTCTTATATATACAAGACTACACTATATCTAGAAAGATCACGAGATTTAAGGAAAAGACGTGAAAGTTTGAGAATGATGTGGCGTGATACTAGTCACGTGACCTCGATGTCGTAACAATAATATAAAACCCATCAGTTAAAAAAAAAAGCTTAGAGTGTGCTGGAAAATTATGAAATCCTAAGTCAAAGTTTTAAGCTTCTTTGTATACCAAACATAACAAAATAGAAAAACTACTAGTTCTAAATGATCAACAGATGATGAAAAATTACTATTATTACTATGCTATCATGATAATAAGATTTCCAACAAAATTAGCATAAAGTTATTTTTCAAGTAAATTTCCCAGACTGAATTTTAGTATTATTAAAAACATTAAATTAGTCATAAATTCTCAAACCTCATGGTACTTTTCTCCATCTGATTCTTTTACAAAGAGAACACACATTGGGTCAGACTTTGAAAAGATGTCTTTATCTTGCAAGTTTCTGTAGGACAAAGAAAATTCAACAATACAAACTTCTAAACAAACTCTTTACTGTTAAAAATATTCCATTCCACCCCAGTTATAAAAATTATTTTAAGAAACACAGAACTTCAAAACATCATACTTTAACAATTAACTTCCAAGTATTGAGAACTGAAATAAAAAAAATTAAATATATACATATTTCATAAGTATAAGTAAGCAAATATTTATATATTTACCTTAAAATTTGCTATTAAGTAATATTGTCATAAAATTGTATATTATTTAAGAAAGTAATCATTTTTCAAAATAAAAGTTATGACAGACGTCTTCATCAAGGAAAACAACATGGAATTAAGATTCAAAAATAACTGGTAAGAGTCAGGCACAATACACTGTTTACATTAGAAGAAAATAAAATTAGTGAAATCATAGCCTTAATTACTATATTATTCACTCTAAAGTTCAATGCTTAGAGGTTGGAGTAGAACTGAGGTAACAATACACACGGTAGTGTGTCATGAGGCCAAGAAATAAACATAATTGCAGGACACCCAATGTGTTATTAACAGAAATGAATACTTTGAGTATTTCAACCATCCCTATAATTGCCCATCATGCAAAACCCTCCCATTTTTTGTATGATAGTTCTCCCAGGCCTCCTTACCTTACACACCAAAATTCAAAGAAATTAATTTAACCCTTATCGTTTTATAGCAGGCCAAACTTAGCCTGAAATTCTTCGATTTTTTTCTTCTTTGCACCAGTGAAAAAAGAAAAACTTTCTGTTAATCGATTTCTTTCAAATTTGGTACTTAGCTAGCATATATGTTCCACTAACTTGATAGCAAAGTTGAATTGTAGTAGCTCAAGAATTCTTGGAGATATGGGCAAAAATAAGCACAAATTATGCTACGATCTCATAGCTTTTTGTACTCACATGGAAAAAAATTGGCTAACACTAACATGCTGAAATTTCTACCACATATTAGGGTATTCTTAAAATTTGTAGAATATGCACATCTACTACAAGATATCACACAGACCACTGTTTTTGTGTTGGTGCATAGCTAAACATATTGTGTATAATACAACCTAACTGCACTATAAGTTAACATTTTCCTGAATTGAAAATGCATTTCCAATCATACTTACCTCTACTCACACTTATAGCTATTACTTGACTGCTAGGGTTTCTTCATTTGACCATCTTAGCATTAGTCTGATTTTTTCTTGCTTGCTTGAGTCTTTTATACCCCACTTAACTGCCCTTGGTGATATTTGTCTTGTGACACTCTCCACCTATGTCAATGCACCCTCTATCCTGATAAAAGCACCTCATCCACATAATGTTATCAATTTTTGAGACAGACTCAATTCGTAGTCTCTAACATTGGCTCGTAGTGGGGAGGAAGGGTGAGATAATATGAGGAGAGGTAAGTATGATTTGAAGTACATTTTCAATTCACGAAAATGTTAACTTTCAAAACATACATAACTCTTCCACCACTTAAAGCTAGAATCCCACATTCAGAAGGTGGAGGACTGTTGAGGGAATTATCCATACAGAAAGCATCATGGGTGTTTCAATAGAAGATTGGCACCCTAGTGGGGGAACCACACTACATCCAGAACAGGTATGCTCTCTACCCTGAACTTAATTCCTGTATTGTGGATGGAATTGTAGATGAGATCATCACTATAGACCAGCCCCAACCAGATAGCCAAGGTTCCACTACTGAGGGTTGGAATTAAAGGGTCCTGCTCCCTATCCCACATTGGTGGCTAAAGCAATTGGACCACAACATTATATATATATATATATATATAGTTATGAGTAGATCCTGACCTGTAGCCATAGAGTGAAATGTTCCGAGCCACCAGAACCATGATGAGAAAGTAAGCAACCTCAAAGTGGACAAACCTTCTCTTCCACCTGAAGAAGCCCAAAAAGTAACACCCAGGCTCGAAATGACGAGATTGAGTATGCTTTACTGAATCAAAGGAAACAGAACTCACCTGGTCAGGAATTACAAACATTCATCTTCACTCTCCAACAGTGTAGGCAAGGTACATTCCACTTGCCCTTGAAATTATGGGGAGGACATGGAACAACTGTGCTCAACCAAGGACCTAGGATGGGACCACTCCATTTTCGTAATTATGAGGAGGTAGTGGACCCTCTTTCATATACAATGTACTGAACCTATATTGATCAAGCAGAAGGGCCATGCTCATCCCAACTGGATAGCAGAGCATCAAATCTGAACCAGAATTATGAGTAGACTCCCGCGTAGGCTAGTGCTGCTCCTACCGACATCTTATGGAACACCTCATTGCTACAGAGCTTGTTGCAACCTTATAAAGTATAAAGAAATAGTTCTTGCTAGTGCGGAATTGGTTGGATAAAAGCACACCTGCCTGGGCAATACTCGCCACAAAGTCGGATCCTGTGAAAATGGGGTAAGAGACCCTAAAAGGTAAAGAGACAAGCGTAGCAATGAAAATACTCAACCCTCTGTAGAATGTAGTGGAAGGGTTAAGATACCTATAGAGGGTAGTGGAATACCCTTACATCAAGATACTACCAGATTATGCAAATAATATGAGATAAAAGTGTTGGGGGAGGTCCACATACCAGTCCACACAATGTCCTACAGTGGGGAATTCAATCAGGCTGCTAAGGACATAGAAATGTGACTATTCTGATTAGACATGAATCGTGGAAGATTCCTTGCCTTAAAAGAGAGCCCAGAATAAGCAATATGGAACAATTTCATACCCACCTTGTCAATGTAACCAGAGATGAATCCTGGGAAACTGAATAATCCCAATGAATAAAGTCATTGTCTAGCCACTCTAAAAGCATTAGTTTGGGCAACAACAGAACAAATGATAGAAATCTGATTAGTCACCAAAGTCAGAAATAGTGATCAGATAAATTGGTGAAAAGGATTTAGCCCTTTCTGTGGCTGACAGTGTCACTGGGAAGAAGAACCAGTCAGAGGACGTAGGTACAATGGTAAAGCATCCTGTGGATGATAGGCGCAAACCACTTCGACTACTGATGTCAGTAGGTTAGCAGCCACAAAAAATAAACCTTCAGGTAAATGTGATACACAACATATGATGCTAAGGTCACAAATGGGTGTTTTTGTTGAAAGGGCATATAATGTAACCTTGATATACCAGTTAGTAGAAGGGTCATTTGGGACAAAGGACCCAAAGCAACTGGAGAAAGCCGAAGAGTACTGTGGACCGAAAGTGCTTCCCAAACTTCAGTCATTTGTGTACCACCTTCACAATATTTTTCATATCTGCATACCACATGTACTATTATTTATGTTTTACTTAGTATTTTTCTTTAAATCAACTCATTTTTTTTATTTACATAAATTTATTTTAAAAGGAAATTTCATAACACTAGGATATATGGAAAACCAGTATCACTTAACATAAACTTTATTTCAAGGTGATTCATTAATTTGGTCCTCACAGCTATCACTACTTTTTTACATTTTCATACTCGCATTTCCATCACAATCTTCACCTTTACGCTTTAAAAATCCATGATGGGTTTAAAAGAAAAAAAAACAGATCTCAGACACACAATCATAAAATGAGAATCTTCATCTAACACTAACTAACGAACATTCTCTCTGAATAGCGGCCAGCCAATGAGCGGACCAGATGCCACATACACACACCCTCTGAATAATAGCCAATGTTTAATTGTTGGCATATAATGTAATACACTTGTTAAAATTAATTTTGTCTTAGAATTTTTTCTAATACACATTAAAATAAATATATAACTATTAAAATAAAAAAGTTGTCTGCATATCACCTAAAATCATCTCGTGTACCACACTTTGGGAAACACTGGTCTAGAGTATCAAACAGTAGTCAATAAGGCCACCATAATATAGGACAATTGTGGAAGATGCAAAACCCTTGCTAAAGAGTCAGGTCAAAAAATGAGTTATAGCTGGCATGTACTGAAATGCATGCCATTTTCATTTTAAAATGTCTATCTCGGGACTAAGCAAAGCCTGAGACAGATACATGGCAACCCTAGAAATTAAACCCCAATGTGATACGAAGGACTGCATAACCTCCATGCCTAGAGGAATTCCTAAAATGGAAATTCCATCCCATTTTGACAGAATGCATCCATTGCTAAAGCCAGAAGGTGAGGTACTGAAGACCAAATAGCCAGTAATTTAGTGTTCCAATGGTCAACCCACCAATTATCAGTGTTTCAAAAGGAGAGTCAATCCAAGAGAAAACCTTGCAATGTAGTATCTATTCTGTTGAAAGAATCTGGTTGTGTCCAAACAATTGATCTGCTACTGCAGTCATCATCTGTGGAAAATGGCAAGCTAATAGGGTGATATGACAGGAGCAATCACAATAAAGAAGATCCAAGATTTTAAAACAAAAAGCTCTGGACCAAGTGCCCTTTGATGGGAAAAGCAAGACACCACTATCAAATTGTTGGAATGATGCCTGAAGATGTTTCTCTTACATAGCCCAGACCACAAGACATCACTATTTGATGAGCAAGAGGGACTAAAACATTGTGTAGGTAAGCCTCGTTATCTTTGCATATATCATGGAATTCCTGACTGTTGAGATATGCACTCTATCTCTGATGCAAGGGATTCATAAAGATATGATCTCTGGATGAGGTGGTGGCAGAGGAACTTATATCTTAGTATTGTCCCAACTTAATCACCCCTCAATATCAAAGAAAGATCCTGAATAAGGAAACTGGAAAATCCATTGAACTGATGTTTATGATCTCTTGGTTGCATAGAGCACATTGAAAGGATCCATTGTGAATTTGTCCCAAAGGCATGAGGGATTAGAGTGATGCCCACATTCTGAAAAAAAGAAAAAACCATCCATGCCATGGGAGAATGAGACAGGAGTAAGAGTCGGGTGACTAAAAAATGTGATGAAAACAAAAATACCCAGACTTACGACATATTGAGTTAGAGCAAGAATAGATATTTC